CTTTGCAACTATATTTGGAGGATCTTGTGAAGGGACTGCTGCTGGTAGTTTTTCAGTGTCAAGAGGCACAAATGGTACACTGTCCAAGTCGCCAAAACATAGCGATTACAGCTGCCTGGTCAACCATGAACCTTGTCTTAGTTTTGTGATCCTGGTTCTCAAATACTTCTTTCCTCAGTTGGCTAAAAGCTGACTTGGCAATAAGGCAGCAGGCAGTGTATTTCTCTCAGGTCTTCAACCTTGCATAGTATTTTACTGCTAAAACATATCACAGAATCACAGAATTGTGACAGCATGGAAAGGAACAATTTGGCTCTCATATCTGTGCAAGTTGATATCTGAATGAATAATTCAACTAGTGTCATACCCTCAGCTTTTCTGCAAAATGTTGCATGTTCTTTCTTATCATCCAAACATTACAATCAATCCAAGAAACTGAAGTTCCTCATCCTTGGAACGATTCTCATGAACTATTTTTACATTCTTTCTTATGCCTTCATATCTTTCCAAATGGCCACAGTTGAGTACTATGTGCAGTTCTGGTCGCCTCACTATAGGAAGGATCTCATTGCTCTGGGAGAGGGGGTGCTGTGGTCGTTGGTTGGGATGCAAAGGAGATTCATGAGTGTGTTGCATGGGAATGGAGCAGTTTAGCTAAGAAGAGAAGCTGGGTAAAGGCTGACACGGATCTGATTGAAGTGTATAAAATTGAGGAGCGTGGACAGGGTGGATAGGAAACGGCAGTTTTCCTTAAATCGAAGGGTCAAAAATTAAGGTGCATAATTTGAAGGCAGGTAAGCAAGAGGTTTAGTGGGGATTGGAGGAAACCAACTTTCACTCGGTGGTGGTGGGAATCTGGAAGGATAGTAGAGGCGGGAAACCTCACAACCTTTCAAAAGTACATGGATAAGCATTTGAAATGTAATGACATTCAAGGCAATGGGTCTAGTGCTGGAAAGTGGGATGGGTGTAGGTAGGTCAAAACAGACTTGGTGGGGTGAAAGGCCTCTTCTGAGCTGTTTGACTCTGACATTAAAAGGGAAGGTTCCCAATATTGGTTGCAATATCCAAGTTCAGGCCAAACTATTTTTTTTATTCAAAATTATGTAACTTACTTTTTTTTAAATATCCTAGTCTGTATTGATAAAGCTTTGAATAATAGACACTTTGTATTTAATCAATCTCTCAATTTGTCCAACATCTGCAATGACGTGCTCATATTTAGAATTCTACCTTTTAGTTTACATTGGGCTGAATCTTACTCTTTTATTGCCTTAGTTGAAGTTGTGTTGATTGTCTGGTGGAATTCTCACCATGAGGCCCAATGAGATTTCTCACTGTATCTTAGCAAAATTGCCTTAATAATGACTAACGCTACCCCTAATGTATCCCTCATTTCGGATTCTAGTCCCATGTTACTACCCGCCATTCCCAAAACAAGTCACTACTCACATGAATTCTGCCAAAAGCCCCCACACATACAAGCCTAGTCTCTCACCCTAGTTACTGTTTAACCACCACACCACAGTATATCCGCAATTAGCAACATCGCATCTCAACACCCTTTCAAGGTCACCACAACTGTGTCTCTAATGACCCCCGTAGACCTGTAGTTTGTCATTGTTCAGTGAGGGACCATCACAGAGAGCCAAGCAATTGGACAATTCCAAATAGGAGCTTTAATTTACAGCCTGCAAAATAAGCAAATATAAACAAAATGAACAGAGACTATAATTTGCCACCACAGTGCAAATCAAAATGTTGGCATCATGACCAGTGATTATTTAACACTCCATGGTGGTTGCTAGCTCTCATGGAACTAGGTTTTAATGATGTCCTTTCTGTCTTGTAGTGTAGCTGAACTCTGTCATGCACAGGAGAATTTCCTCCTCTTTGGAAGACTAACCCCATACTCCCAGATCTTCAGCATCCACACATTGCTTTGTTATCTGCTCCAAATGTCCAGAGCACAGCACACAAGGATAATGCAGCAGACCAACTGGAAGGTCCCCTAACCCAGTCCAAGCATCAGAATTTCATTTTCAGAAGCCCTATTGTCTGCTCCACCTTGGCTCTAATCGAAGCTTGGGCAGCATTGTAGCAGTGGTCTGCATCAATCAAGGGATTGCACAATTGTATTCATGAGCCAGGGTCATAGTGGGTAGCCCTTAAAACCAAGTAATCAGCTTTATAAGACATTGGACTCTCAAATACACCAGGTACACAAGGAATACTCTAGAATTCAGGTGTCATGGTAGCTGCCAGGGTAGTGGTAACAGATCACTTGAACATCAATTAATGGAACCCTTTCTTTTGATGAATTCTGTAGAGTTGTGACAAAGCCCTCACAGTGTGATGTATGAGTTGATAACCCTCTGCAACTGGAGGAAGCCAACTACATTTCCAAGTCCTACTGGCCAGGCTACAGCACTGACCTCATAATGGGACGAGCAATATGAGCTGGTGTGATCTTACACTGGCATCAGTCACATTCCTGATGTACTTATGGGTGCACAACTGAGAGGTCCCACACACATCACTTTTCTGAAGAACCACAAGGACTGAAACGCCAATTATTGCAGCAAAATTTGGTAAAATATGGTGAAAAAAAATGTGCTCAGCCTCACAGTGAGAATCACTTCTCCAAATCTGATGCAGCCAAAGCCATAAAATTCAGCCCATTGCATTTCCATTATATTTCTGTATCCAGAACCATGCACATTTTTATTCGTATTCTCAAGAAGTGGGTGACACTGTTAAGACAGTAATTAATGCCCATTCCTAGTTGCCCTGAGGGCATTAAGAATAAAATCCTTTGGTGTGGGCTTGGAATCACATGCAGTTCAGACCAGGTGAGACAAGCAGGTCCCTCCGTGAAGGACAGACATGTAATAATTGGATGTTTACAACAACTCAGCAGGTTTCATTACCAGATTTACTGCATGCAATTTCACAATTAGTTCTGATGGTTTGTACTGTAATGATGGCAGCCGTATACATGCTGTTGGGGTGCTAGTGGCGCAGTCATAGTTGCCCTGCCTCTAGGCCAGGAAGTTCAGGTTCAAGTCCTACCTACCCAACCAGAAGTATGTCATAACAAGTCCAAACTGTTGGATTAAAATAACTGTACATTCTATTATAATATAAGTTTGGAATCATTTCAGCCATGTTGCAAGAAATCTGATAGTGTAATATATAAACTGAAGCATATCAGAGCAACTTTGCAATATTACACTCTGGGTGGCCTATTCTCTGTCTTATAATTTAAACTCTAATCCCAAAATTACTTTGGTCCTTTGAGACTTTACGTAGTAATGTAACAGGAGACATTTGAGTGCAGTAATTCACAAAATTTTATTTAAGTTATACTTATCAAACAGGACGGCAACTTGACAGGTAAAAGTGCAGTTGATGCTTTCCAGCTCAGCTCTGGGCAAAGGCCAACCTATTGGTCTCTGGTATTTCTCCAACATTTTGAGGGTCTTCCACTACTTTTTGGAAGCAGAAGTTCAAACTCCTTGTATGTCTTGGTCGCTGAAAGTTGCCGCTCGGTAACACTTTCCAAGCTATAACTCACAGCATGATCAATTGCATCATTACATTCTGATTGGCCTAAAATAAGATGCGACTCATTGATCATTTGTTCCTTAAACCAATTAACAATCTCTAATCTCCAATCAGCTCTTAAGTGTGACAGACATTGACTGATGGCACATCCCACTATCTCCTGACTGGTTCCTTAAAAATTGTCTGTTATCCATGGGTCCATCTCTAAGTTTTATTATTGTCACTATTATAACTTTTTACCAGGATAAGAGGACGCTTTTTAAAAAAAAAACAGAGGCATGTGCAGTCAGGACTCAATGATTGATATCCTTGAGCTCATGTACCAATCCTTGTTGAATTAGTAAAGTTCGCAGTAAATCAGACACTTACTCATCACTGACCATTTGCTTTTCCTTAAAAGCACCTGTTCTAATTGGCTTTGTTTCTGCTATTTGAATACTTGGAAACAGTTTCATAGGCAACAGTTATGCACAGAGATGGTGTCCCTACCCCTGGATTGGAAGCCCAGTTCACATCCCACCTGCTCCAGTGGTGAGTAATAACGTCACTAAACAGATAAGAAAAATAGGTTAAAAAATATTGTATAAAATGTTGCTAATGACTTTAAAGCTATATAAAATGAATGCAGAAGGTCAGAAAGTACAAATACAAAATAAAAAGAGAGTGGAATTTTTCGCACATTTTCTTGAGTAAGATCTAAAAGATCAGACAATTATAAACTTGCCAAAGTTAACTCTAATACAAATGTTGCAATTTTTCAATTGTTGCAATTCTAAACAAGTTAAAGACAACTAGTAGAGAAACTCAGCTGTGGCTATGATTTCTTGATAAAGGCTAGCGAATTGGGAATAAATCAAATCTGCCTTCTTTGGCTTTAAAGATTGCATGTTCTCACAATCATGAAATGGGAATAAGTTTGGCAGCCTTACAGCTGTAACTGTAAAACGTTCGTGTATTATCTTCATTCTATTCTCAATCCCATTGTCCATTTGTCAGTTGAAGCTAAGCAGAGTAACACTTTACAGCACCAAGATCTGCATTGGCTATTCTTAAATAAAATAATGCAATAATTGATTAATCAACAAGTATAATTTAGCAGCATAATTATAACTAAAGTAAGTCAATCAATCATTAAGTGTTAGTTTCCCTATTAATCCTACATCAGGTTTTAACTAGCAGTCTTCATGATTTTCTTTTAGAAAGTTATTGACAGCAATTTTACTTTTTCTCAATGTATGCTCCTGACAGGTGTGTTACACCATGTGGAGCGCAAATTTATAGCAGTAGACTACTCATTATTCAGTTATGTCCAATTGACTTAATGATTTCTATTAATCATCACATGACTGAAAAGAACAATATTGTATCCACGTGTATGTCCACAAAAATTATTCATGTCACCATTGTTAGTGCTGGGAATCTTCTACAGCTGCACCACTATGGCCTTCTCCTCTTCACATTGGATACTGCAAGTTTGGTGTTGATGGTCCTCAAAGCAAGCTGAACCAAAAACTTCAGTGCCTCCTCCATCCTCTTAAAATTAAAATAAGAACAATCAATTCAGATTGACCATTTGACTGAAGTTTTTTTTACCAAAAGCAGTCTTTTTCAGGTATCCTTGTTTTTAAACAGATCATGCTGTTGTTGTGTGCCATAAGACTATTTCCAATGGAAGGTCTTCGTGGGGATTCTGTTATCATCTATGTGGGAGACATGGCTTACTTCGTAAAATTGAATTTTCTGGAAGGTGGTCTCCATTCCATTGAGCCAAGCATGATCCAGGAGCTTGATTAGTATTGTTTTGCCCCACCATTGAATTCTAACGTTGTAGGAGCAAATTATTGCAGATGCTGGAATCTGTACTGAAAACAACAAATGCTGGAGATCACAGCAGGTCAGGCAGTATCCATGGACAGAAAGCAAGCTAATGTTGAGTCTAAATGACTCTTCATCGGAGCATCAGAATTCTAATGCTGAGTCCCAGGAGTGTTTGACTGAGGTGTTCTTGAGCTTTGATGAGATACCTATATCAAATCCGGGATTCTGCACCAAAGACTTCAGTGGTCAGGTAGTGCTTGATTTTAGTCTTCAGTTTCATGTTATTTTATTTGTACATGGGATCTAGGTTTCACTGGTTAGGCCAGCACTTATGGCACATTCCTAATTGTTCAGAGGGTAGTTAAGAATCAACCACATTGCTGTAGTTCTCACATTATATGTAGGCCAGCAATTTCTTTGCCTAAAAGGGCATTAGTGAACCAGATAAGGTTTTAACAACAATAGACAGTGGCTACATGGTCACCATTAGGCTAGTTTTTTTTAAAAATTCTAAATTTTTGTTGAATTCAAATTTTATTATCTGCCATGGTGTGATTTGAAACCATATGGTTAGAACATCAGCCTCGCCTTTCGGATTACTAATCTAGTAGCATTACTACTGCATTAACACTTTTATAAACTACTCTGGTTCCGAACGTGATCATGGAATTGTCCAGATGCAGAATTCTGGATGTGTAACACAGGCAGCTTCACCAATTGTATACAGGGAATCCTATCACGTGTATGCCCATTATGGCACACCACAATATTGGGTGCAGTGTAATCAGTTGAAGTACTAACGAAATTCTGATTGTCACCATTTACTAATGATGACTAAATTGGAACACTTTGAGTATATTATTGTTTAACTCCACATATATTACAGCACACAGTCGCTCATTCTTTACTCCATTTTAGGTAACTAATCAATAATTTACAAGAAGATGGTGACTTACAATTAGCTATACAAAAATACATTAACTATTATTCTGGAAAAATATACACATCATAATTATGTGTGTATTTAAACAATTTCACCATCAATAAATGGATTTACATGCCACATAGAAAATGGGAGCAGGAGGAAACCTCTCAGCAAGATCATGGCTGGGCTGCCCAAGGCCTCAAATCCTGTTTTGTGCCAGCTCCCCATCACTCTCAATTCCCCAATATTTCAAAAATCTAACTGCCTCCTCTTTAAATACTTTCAGTGATCTGGCCCTGACAACTCAGGGGAGTAGGGAATTCCAGACATTCACTGCCCTCTGGGAGAAGGAATTATTTTATGTCTCAATTTCAAATGAATGTCCCTTTATCCTGTAACTATGTCCCCTAGCTTGAGATTCTCCCACTAATAGAAACATCTTTTCAAAATCTAATCTGTCAAACCCCCTCAGAATCTTTCATGTTTCAATAAGATTACCCCCTCATTCTCCTAAACTCTAAGGAATGAAAGATAACCTGTTAACCCCTTCTTCGCAAGAATCAGCTCAGTGAACCTTTTTTGAACTGCCTCTAATGCCAGTAATTCCTTCTTATATACAGGGACCACAACTGTGTACAGTACTACTGGTGGAGACTCACCAACACCTTGTATACCAGTAACAAGACTTCCCTATTTTGAGAACTGCAATCCCTGTAAATAAAGTTTGAAGTTCCATTTGCCCTCTTGATTAATTGCTGCACTTGCATGTTAAATGTTTTATGTTTCATGCTTAACAATGCCCAGATCCCTCTGAAATGTCCTTTTTTGGAGTTGCTGTTCATTTAAACAATAGTCTGCCTTTTACTTCTTCCTACTAGAGTGCATTACCTCATACTCTTCTACATTAATCACTGTCTGCCAAGTTGTTGTTATCTTGCAGATTTCTAATACCTCCATTATTACACAACCTCACACCTCGTTTTATGTTATTAGTAAATGTGGTACATTATACTCTAATCCTTCTCCAAGAGACTAATAATGTAAATATTTGAGGCCGTAGGATTGATCCCTGTGGCATTCTACTCAAACTAAAAATAAACCATTAATTCCAATTTTCTATTCTTCAGTATATTAACCAACTCTCAATCCATGCTAATATATTATCCCATGGACTCCTAACATTAACATTTCATGAGGCAACTTATCAAATGCCTTTTAGAAGTCTAAATACATTATATCCACCAGTTTACCTTTATCAAAACAGCTTGATATGTACTCAAAGGACTCAAGTAAATTTGTCAAACATGATTTCCCGTTCGAAAAATTCACGTTGACTCGTTTTGGCTGTATTAAGCTTTCCTAAATGCCCTGCGATTTCTTTCTTAATAATGCCACTTCTATTTTGTTATAAAAATAATACAATTTTGTTTCTTTCACAAGAAATAATAAAGAAATTTCATTCACAACTAAACATAGGATTGTTTTACTAGTTGTGATATCAAGGCCTCAATTAAAAACAAAATAACCAAGCATCAATGCAATTTGTCAAGCTTAAGTCAGTTCATGATCTGCCTAATGATTCAAGCAAGGAAAGAACTCTCATGAAATTATTTAACTTTATCAAAACCTGAGAAGCTTCAGTTTGGCTGGCCTACTCACATTCCCTCAAGCATGGTCTCAAATATTTACATTTCTGGAAATTATGGAGAAAACTAAAAGGAAAGCGTCACTTGGTAAGTATCCAAGCAATGGTTTAATGAAAATATTCACTTAAAACAGCCAGTTGGAATATCTTGTAGCAGTGATGACCCTGGGGAGGGAACAACATTCTTATATTTCTTGAATCATCTTACAGTAACCTTTTCCAAATTGCTAGTTACAGAACAATTGGTTTGATAGCTTTAGATAATGTATTGATTTTGGCTACTCCACAAACAAGTGAGGCCATGAGAAGTTCTGTAAACTTGAAAAACACAAATATGAAATAGCCATTTGATAATAGTTAGTTCATGTATCAAACTGAGAAATGAACCAACAAATGGACATCACCTATTTTGTTAAGTTGAAACAGTTACTATGTGTGTACTTGTTTTATTCGGTCTGCAAAGAACAGAGCCCTGTTTCTCAAAAATTGTAGCCTCCTGTGCATGCCATTCACTGCACAACAACCATAACAATCCAGTATTGATCGTCAGTGTAATCCTTTGTACTATCAGGATTATCCAGCAAATGTTGTCCAATTGCAGAATCACATCTAATGTTGGCAACTGTTGTGGAATACATAAACAAATGGCTTACATACCTTAAGAATAAGACCATAAGAAGCAAGAACAGGAGTGTGCCTTTTGGCCACTCAAGCCTGCTCTGCCAATCAATAGTTCATGGCTGATCCAGCACTCCTCACTTGCACATTCCTTCCCTTTCCCATAACACTTGGACTTCCTTACTAATCAAGAATATACTTATCTCAGTCTTTAAATCTACTCAAGGACTCTGCCTCTACAGCTCTCTGTCACAAAGAGTTCCAAACTCTCAGAACCCACTGAGAGAAGGGCTTCCTCCTCAGCCATAAATTGATGCTCCTTTATTCTGAGACTCAGCCCTCTGATCCTAGACTATCCCATGAGGGGAAACATCCTCTCAGCAATTACCCTGTCAAGCCTCTTAAGATTCCTATATGTTTTAATGAGATCATCCCTCTTTTTTCTAAATTCCAGTGAGTAGAGTCCCATTCTGTTCATAAGACAATCCCTCCACTGGGGACCAGCTGAGTGAACCTTCTCTGAACTTCCAATGAAAAGGTATCTTTTCTTAAAGAAGGAGACTAAAATTGCTCGCAGTACTTCAGCTCCTTCAGCTCACTCCAGACACCCTCTTCCTTTTGAAGAGAAAGGGTGGTGCCAGGAAGCCCTCAGCTGGAGGAGGAATTACACATAGGCATCCTCAGAAGTCTCCTCTCAAGACACTCAGAAGTGGCCAGCCCGACCATCTCCATCCTACCTGCCACTCTCAGCCCTGTGGGAGTACATGCCCTGAAGGGTGTACCAAAAAGAGGACAAAGGAGGCACTTCAGGTCACAAAACCAAAACTGCCAGACAAACAGACTCCACTGTAGGGGAGGCCCCACTTCACCAAAGTAACGCAGCACTGAAACTTAGTGAGAGGGTAAGAAAGAAGAAAACCTTCTGCAGGCACATAGGTGGCATGGGTGACATGTCAATGTTAAAAGGCTTTTACATTCATAAATATATGTTCAACTTTCACCATTAGCTGTGCTAAAGAATCTATCTCACTGCAGCTTCAACATTGCAGATTCAGAACCCGCCCATCCTTGTCAATACCGTGTTCAATGGTCCAAGCTGAGAAGTGAGCAGCTCCTCCACTATGTGTAGGCAATGGATAAATTACAGGTGACTGCTACTTTGGCAACTAGGCTCCATCATTCTAAATATCAAACAACTAACAAACTCCCATTTGGACATTGCCTCACCAGACTCTAAGCCACGTAAACAAAAAGAAACACTTTTGTTTTAAGAAATTGATAAATTACAATTTTCTTCCCTCATTTTTTTCTTTCTTTCTACCTTTGTAGGTGTGAATGAAGTAGCAAAACAATTTCCCTCATTTTGAATGCTTTGTTAATAAACACAAGCTTGGATTGCATCTTAAAAGTTTTTGCTGTGGGTTTGAAATTGAAAATCTGAATTTGGGAAATTCCAGCTTACCTTAGTAAAGGATAACAGTAAAATGGGAAAGGAATAAACCAAACAAAACCTCACACTAATGATAG